CGCACACGCACACGCACACGCACACGCGCACGCACACGCACACGCACACGCACACGCACACGAACACACGCACGCGCACACGCACACGCGCACACGCGCACACGCGCACAGGCGCACACGCACACGCACACGCACACGCACACGCACACACCCACGCACACGCACACGCGCACGCACACGTACACGCACACGCACACGCACACCTACACGCACACGCACACGCACACGCACACGCACACGCACACGCACACGCACACGCACACGCACACGCACACGCGCACACGCGCACACGCGCACACGCGCACACGCGCACCCGCGCACCCGACCCCCGCACCCCCGCACGCCCTCCACCCGCACACCCGCACCCCGCACACCGCAACCCGCACACCGCCACACCCCGCACACCCGCCCCACTACCCGCACACCCGCACCACCCGCTCCCCGCAACCGCACCGCACACCGCACGCCCGCTACACCCGCACACCGCACACCCGACACTCGCACCCGCACGCCCGCACACTAACACGCACGCACGCGCCACACGCCCAACACGACACACGCACACACGGCACACACGCCACACACCACACGCCACCGCCCACGCCACACGGTACGCGCACGCCACCCGCACACGCACAACAGCACACGCCAACACGATCGCGGCACGCGCACGCACACGCTCCACGCGCGCACACGCACACCCATGCACACACACACACACACCGCACGCACGCACGCACGCACGCACGCACACACCACACACACATACGCACACACACATGCAACACAACGCGCACAGACACAAACACACACACACACAACACACGCACACGCCACACACACACCACGCACACACACACACACACCCGCGCGCGCACGCACGCCACGCACGGACACGGCACACGCACGCACACACACACACACCACACACACACACCGCGCGCCACGCACGCGCTCCGCACACGCAAACGCACAGCACACGCACTCGCACGCATCGCTGCGTTCACGCACTGCGCACTCGCCCACGCCCAACGCACCAACACGCACACATAACACAACACAGTACACACACGCACGCGCACAGCCACACGCCACACAGCACACGACACGCTACACGCACACGCACACGCACACACACGCACGCGCACGGCACACGCCACCACGCACACGCCACCCGCACATGCACAGCACACGCTACGCACACGTTCTCGCACACGCACACGCACACGCACACGCACACGCACACGTTCACGCACACGCACACGCACACGCAGACGCACACACGCACACACACGCACACACACGCACACACGCGCGCACACGCACCCACACGCACCAACACGCACCCACACACCCCCACGCACCCACACACCCACACACCCACACACCCACACACCCACACACCCACACACCCACACACCCACAAACACACACACATCCACACAGACACACCGTCACAGCCACTGCCACCGCCACCGCCGCCGCCACAGCCACCCCCACGCCCACACCCACACCCACGCCCACACCCACACCCACACCCACACCCACACCCACGCCCACACCCACGCACACTCACACGCACACTCACACGCACACGCACGCACAGACACAGACACAGACACAAACACAGACACAGGCACATGCACAGGCACAGACACAGACACGGACACAGGCACAGACACGGACACAGACACAGACACAGACACAGACAAAGACACAGACCCAGGCACAGGCACAGACACAGACACAGACACAGACACAAACGCAGGCACAGGCACGGACACAGACACATACAAAGACACAGACACAGAAACAGACACGCACACACGCACACACAATCACACACACACACACGCACATAACAATACAACCCACTTCTCGGAGATCGGGTCGTGCGCCCCGAACGGCGGTAGCCGCCGCCGCCCTCGGAGGGCTTCCGCCCGGCCATGGCGCCGCATGGCGGCGCCCCGCAGGACGACGCGCTGGCACAGCTCGCGGGGCGCGTGCGGGTGCTGGAGCTGGCCGTGGCCCGCCTCGAGGCGCGCGCGTCTCGAAGGGGCTTCGGGGGGAAGGGGAGGAGGAGGAGGAGGAGGGGGAGGAGGAGGAGGGGGAGGAGGAGGAGGAGCAGGAGGGGGAGGAGGACGATGACGACTACGAACACCAGAAGAGGCCAATGTGTCTCCAATCTCAGCTTGAAATGGCCCTTGGACCGGCGCACTGTCGAAGAATGGCGGGCTGCCCCTACCCGCGCGTTCCGTAGTTTGGGTAATTACAGCGCTCCCCGTATTAGGCGGTCTACGCTCTGACTGGGTCCCTGTCCTCATCCGGCCGCTTGCAACCGCTGCGCAATGGAGGGTGCGCCAGACGAGAGAGGAGAGGAGGTGGGAGGAGACGAGCGCGGAGGAGGAGGAGGAGGAAGAGGAGGAGGAGGAGGAGGAGAAGGAGGAGGCGTAGGAGGAGGAGGAGGAGGAGGAGGAGGAGGAGGAGGAGGAGGAGGAGGAGGAGGAGGAGGAGGATAAAGAGGAAAGAGGATAAAGAGGATGAGGAGGAGGCGGAGGAGGAGGAGGAGGAGGAGGAGGAGGAGGAGGCGGAGGAGGAGGAGGAGGAGGAGGTCCGCCACGAGGCGCGCGTCTCCGCCCCCGGGCTGCCGCTGGTGGCCGCCCCGTGGGGCGGCGCGGCGCAGCTGGGCGGCCTCCCGCGGCCGCAGCAGCCGCAGCCGCGCCCGGCGGCTTCCCCCCCAGCCCGGCAGGCCGCTGGGCTGCACGCGCAAGAGAGCCAGATCCGAGGCGGGAATTGATGCACGACCACCGCCTGGAGGATCAGTTTCGGGGATCTTGACAGGCGGTGGATGTGGACATATGTCGGACCCCCGGGGCCACAATGTATCCATATCCACCGCCCGCTGGGGCGCTAGGACGTCGGTTCCCAGGCGGTGGAGATGGATAAATCCCAAGCCTCGCAGTCAGAGGATCGAGAAAGAGAACGAGAAACAAGTGCATAAACATACACTTTCGGAGGTCCGCGCGGACTTCTTGGATCGGCGCCCAGGCCCCTCTGGCGGCGTCTCTGGCGCCGCCCCTGGCGCGCTCCGCTCGCCAGGGAGGGGGTGTCCAGCGCGGATCCAAGAAATCTGCGCAGACCGGCGACAGTGTCAATTTATGATTTTTTTTTGGTTGGTTCCTCTAGAGGAGAGAAGCGTGCCAATACCACGACTGCCCTTGACTCGTGTTCGCCTTGCTGGGGCCTTCTTGGAGGCCCTCGTCGCCACGGCTGGCTTCGCCCCGAAATTTCTGGTCAAGACGCACCCTGGCAGAAGTCCTGGGAGCAGCGGTCGGGGTGCCTGCTGGCCGCCCAGGTCTCCGACGCTGTGATTTGTCATATCTGGGCGTTTTCCTTCGATTTCGGCCCCTGGGGCTCGTTTTCAGGCCCCATGCAGGGCCATCAGGAACGGCTCCGGGGCGAAACGCGCTCTGGAGCCGCCCATGGGAGAACCCACATCGTCGGATGTCTGGGAAAGCGGGCCATTCGGCGTGGCGTCCAGGGGGCGCGGGGGGCGGGGGGGTAGGGAGGGTAAGCCCAAGCGCGCGGGCAGCTGCTGCCGCGTCGCGTGCAGTGATCGGCTGGCCGCGTCGCGTGCAGGGATCTGCCGGCCGCGTGTCAGAGGTCATTCATGCTCGGCCCAAAGATCATCGCATTGTTTTCGCACTGCTGGGTCCCCAGAGAGGTCCCGACCCTCTCCCCAGTGATGCCTCCATCCGGAGCATTTTTAACGGCCCTGGGGCCCGCCGAGTGCTCACGCGGCAGCGGAAGACCGACGAGAGAAAATCTCCGCGCTCACTTGTGCAATGCGTTGTGGAAGTGTGGATGTAGCCACAGGCCGGCGGCAGCCCCTTCCACTGGGGGGCGGCGGACGCGGCCGCGGATGGCAGCGCCCACGTCGCGCCCGCCTGCGCCCAGGTCGCACAGCCCCTGTCCCCAGCGCGGCAGGGCGGTTCCATCAGCCTGTGGAACGGCGCGCGGCTCGCTGCCCAGCCGCGCTCCCCGGCGGCGCCGCGGCCCGCCGCGGAGTTCGCAGCCTCGCCGAGGCCAGCGAGGCTGGCGGCAGGCGTGGCGCGCTCCCCGACGGTGCCGCGGCCCGCCGCGGAGTTCGCGGCCTCGCCGGCCACGGCGAGGCCAGCGGCGGGCTCTGGCGTGGCGCGCTCCCCGACGGCGCCGGCCACGGCGAGGCCATCGGGGGGTGCAGCGCCGCTGTGGGCGGCGCGGGCGCCGCCCGCCGCGCCCGCCGCCGTGGCGCGGGCCAGGGCCGCAGCCGCTGGCGGGGACGCCCGGCGCTGCCAGTCGCTGCCGCCTCCCGGGGCCACCGCCGTGCCGCGGCACATCTCCGCCTCGCTCACCGCGCCGGCTGCGGGCGCCGCGGCGGAGGCACGCTCCTCGGAGCCGACTCGACGCAAGAGTGACCTTTCGCCGGAGTAACCTGTGGTGCGGGCGCAATTTGGTCCCCAGAGACCGCTGAGCGCGACGCAGTAGCAGCGTCTTGCGCGCCTGTGTGTGTTGGTCCCCCAACGGCCCCCAAGAAACCGCGCACCACGGGTCACTCTTACCCAGGGTCACTCCTCCTCCTCCTCCTCCTCCTCCTCCTCCTCCTCCTCCTCCTCCTCCTCCTCCTCTTCCCTCTCCTCCTCCTTCTCTTCCTCCTCCTCCTCCTCCTCCTCCTCTCCTCCTCCTCCTTCCTCCTTCTCCCTTCTCCTTTCTTCTCTTCTCCTTCTCCTTCCTTCTCTTTCCTTCTCCTTCTCCTTCTCTTCTCCTTCTCTTTCTCCTTCTTTCCTTCTCCTCCCTTCTCCTTCTCTTCTCTCCTTCTCCTTCTCCTTCTCCTTCTCCTTCTCCTTCTCCTTCTCCTTCTCTTCTCCTTCTCTTTCCTTCTCTTTCTCCTTCTCCTTCTCCCTTCTCCTTCTCCTTCTCTTCCTCCTCCTCCGCCTCCTCCTTCGCTCTCCTCCCTCCTCCTCCTCATTCTCCTCCTCCTTCTTCTCCTCCTCCCCCCCCTCCTCCCCCCCCGATGGAGGCCCGCCGCGATCCGGCGAGTGGCCTGCGCGCGCTCGGCGGCGACCGCATCCGGCCGCTCTCCGCGGGCCTGGGGGCGGCAGGCGCCCAGCCGCGTGCCCACGGCGCGCCGGCGCGCTCGGCCTCGCCAGGGGCCCGCTCGAAGGACCAGCCTGTGCGCGGGAGCGGCCCCCTCTCTCGACTGTGAAGGGGAACTGGGACACACAAATAAATACACACAAATAAAAATATCCCCCCATATTTTCTCATATTTTCTGCCCATATTTTCTTATATTTTCTGGGAATCGCCGACTAATTGTGTCTGTGTGTTTTTCCCCCTCCTGAGACTGGACGTAAGAGTGACCTTTCGCCGGAGAGACCTTTGGTGCGGGCACAGGTGGGCCCCCAGATGGCTGAACGCGAAGCGGCAGCAGCGGCTTGCGCGCCTGGATTTGGCCTCCCCGCGGCCCCCCCGAAGCCGCGCACCAAAGGTCACTCTTACCCAGGGTCACTCCTGCTCCTCCTCCTCCTCCTCCTCCTCCTCCTCCTCCTTCTCTTCCCTCTCCTCCTCCTTCTCTTCCCTCTCCTCCTCCTCCTCCTCCTCCTCCTCCTCCTCCTCCTCCTCCTCCTAGTTTCCTCTCGCAGGAGCGTTGTCTCGGTGACGCGGCCTCCAGGCCCAGGCCCCCTCGCGTGGCAAAATCACGGCGCGAGGCTTGCCTCTGTCTTCGGCTTCCCCTATGGGGGCCCTGGCCGGGCCCCCAGGGCCGTCACCAGAACGACTCCGGACGAAGCGCCGGTCCCGGGGAAGGGGTCCAGACATCCGGAGGTCGACGTTGTGAGCATAATCACGACGTCGGGGGTTTGGGTCCAGGGGGCGCTGGGCCCCGACCCCCTCGCGCCGTGACCAGCAATCACGTCGGACCGTGTCTTGCGATGTGCGGCTAGGTATGGGGGCCCTCGCTGGGCCCCAGCGCCTTGAGACAAATGGCTCGGGAGGGAGCGCTGGTCCGAGGTAATGGGTCGAGATGTCCCAGGGGTCCATGTGGTGAGACACATCAGGACGTCGGGGCTCTGAGCGGGGGGGGGGGGCTCGCGGCTCGCCCGGAGAGATCTTTGCGTCGCACGGGCCTTCGCGCCGGGTGACCTCGCCCTGCCTCGGGCCCCGGGCCCTCACGCGTCGATCTGGCGCGAGAGCTGCCGCAGAAGGATGGGGCCTATAGTGAAGTCGGGTCTGTCCCTCTGCAGGAGGAATATCCAAACATAGTTTACAAACTAGCCGGGGGATGATTCTTGGAGCACTTTTGATTAGTTTGAGCATTTGTTTCGCTATCTTTGATTTTTCCGCCAAGGTCCGCCTGTCGGGGGACATGCCCGACCTGAGCTTACAGGGCTCCTGTCATGATGCGACGCGGTGTTTTTTGCAAGCCTCTGCGACGTCGGAGCTCGGGGCGAGCCCACGGCGCACGGGCAGCTGCGCCGCAGCGCACGCAGCGGTCGACAGGCCGCGCCCCCGAGGTCGCTCCCTCCCCACCACCACCAAGCAGTGGCGAAGCGTCCTGGCTCGCCTATAGCTCTGCCAAGCAGTGTTCCAAGAACCTTCTGTGGTTTCCACGAATGTTCTGGGAGCACTTCTGGCGCAGTCTGTCTTGTTCAAACACATCGGGCTCATGTTCTAAGAACACTGCTTTTGTCCTTCGAACATTTTGGGGCTCTAGGAACTTCATCGTCGTGGTAGGACCACAGGAGTGCCGGGACGGGCGGTCCCTCCCCAACACCAGGGCCACCCCTGCGTGCAGCCTGGAAGGAGAAGGCCCTGGAGCTGGACAGGAGGTTCCGGGACGCGGGGAAGGCACGGCCGGCGGCGGCGGGGCCTCCGACCGAGGCGGGGCTGCCCACGAAGCACGCGCAGCAGCCACTGGCTCGGCCCGCCGCGGCCGGGCCTGCGGCGGAGGCGGGGCAGCTCACCAGGCACTCGACGACGCCAGCCGTTTCCCCCCGGAGATCCAGGCGTTGCTTTGCTTTTTTTTTTTTTTGTTTTTGCACAACGGGCGCTTTCGCCCGGTCTCGAGCCCCAGGACCATCACAGGTCGATCCAGCTCGCAAGATGACGCAGGAGGATGGGGTCTGGGGCTCCTGTTGTGACTTTTGCGCGGTGCCGCACTTTTTCGCAACGTCGGATCGAAGGGTTAGCAGACCAGCTTGATGCACGCTGCCGCGCGTGTCCGCACGCGCGGGATCGTGCATCGAAGTGGTGCGGTACATGGTCGACGTCGTCCAAAGGCACGTGCAACAGCAGCCGCTTGGACAGCCGGGGCCAGATCTCGGATGCTCCGCCACCCCGCCCCCGGGGAGCGAGGAGCGCCGGGGGAGTTCTGGGCACACCGGAGACGCCGGAGTGGTCCGGCTGAGCTCGCCGATAGGCAACGCGCGGCGGCTCCCTGAGCTGTACGGCGTCAGCGAGTAGACAGTCGCGCTGCCGCGCGGGTCCGCCCTGCCTCGCTCGGGGGGCCAGGGTTGAGGGGTGGGGCACGGAGCTCGGCATCAGGCATGCTGACGTTTGGCACGCTCTTCGTGGGGGGGGCCTGACATCGAGGGGGCCTGGCGCGAGCACATCTGTCATGCGCTTCGCACGTCTTGGCACCCACGGCCTGCCCAGGCAGTGTCCCCCGGCAGCCGGCAGGGGCCGCTCCCGACGGGGAGCGGGCGTCCGGCCGCTCTGCGCTGCGCTGCGTGGTGCAGGCAGTGAGCGAGCTTTCGAGCTCGGTGCGTCGGTGGGGGGGGGGAGGGCGGCGGATGCAAACGGACGAACTGTTTGCCAACGTGGACCCCGCACAGAGTGTCTTGCCTTTTCGAGGTGCGCTCGAGGTGGCGCGCCCTATGGTGTTAAAGTCTTGTGGCGCGTGGGGTGTAACCGAGGTGGTGCAAACCAGGTGGCGCCACTTCTTGATGCAATCGGTATTGACCAACCCATAGTTATGAGTAGTACCCAAAGATCTGGTTTGGGGCAGTGTGTGTGTTTTCTGGTTTTTTTCTCTGTGTGTGTGTGCTTGTGTTGCACGCGACTGGTCTACTTATACGTCTAGAAAGAGAACGGGTGGGTCACCAAGGCCTCCTTACTAAAGAAGCCATGTATGAACATATTCGTTCTTGAAGAACTCCCTACATGATGAATTTTGTTTGAAAGAGTTGAACTAATCCCTGGTTGGAGTTTTTTTTTTCAATCAGTTGTGCCAGTGGATGTATCCAATGGATGCTTATTCAATGTAAAACGAGCCTTCCAAAAGAGCCTCCGCAAAGGTGCCCTTGTTGAAGCAACCCGTACGATATAACCCTTGTGACATCTGGTATTCTTGCATTATTACATGTGAGTTCCTGACCGACGGGGCCCTTACTACAACAACCCGTCCTAAGGCAGCATTCTGAACGAATCATTACTAAAGAGTTCAATGTTCGAGAAGAATGACTAAAATGTGCCTCGCTGAGGAATCCTTAACGCATGTCTATTAGCGAGAACTTGGGTGGACGCGTCAATCATGAGTTATGGCTCGCAACACTGCGGTGTTGGTTCCCGCTGGCCTTGCGTTGTGACCTCCTGCGTATTCCATCGCCGAATTTCAGGTCTCGGAACTTGCGGGCCGCGCTCTTGGAAGTGGCGCAGCGGTATGGAACCATGGCGGTGGCGCTATGAACCTGATCCCCCACGTTCGGTCCTCCTGCCTGTCGCTGCAGCTGGACTCCAAGCTGCAGGAGTTCGCGCAGGGCTTCAAGGCGAAATCGGTGGACTTCGTCATTGGTGGCCAGGAGTCGAAGAGGGACCTGTCGGTTGGGCAGCCGCCGCCAAGCCACAGCCGAAGAAGGGCCCGGAGGGCCAGGCCCTGCCGGGGGCCGTCAGTCGCTTGTGGGAGGGCTGCGCGAAGGGCCTTTTGCCGGCAGAGGTGCGAGGAGCTGAAGAAGGTCAACCCAGTGAAGGAGGAGTTCGGGGCCTAGCTGCGCTTCATCAAGTGGGATCGGTCGAAGAAGTTGGAGGAGGCCCCGAAGCACGGCCAGTCCAGGAATGTTTGGGAGGAGGTCGAGGCCCCCAGCGGCACGAACATCGCCGAGGAAATTGAGGTGGAGCTGGGGCTGCTGGAGCGGGGCCACATCAGTGACTACTTCATAGAGCCTTCAGCGCTGACGGGTATGAAGGCCAAGAAGGGTGCGGAAGTAGAGGGCCAGAAGGCGAATCATACGAATACTAATGCGGAAAGCATCATGAGATCTCTGGGGAGGCAGTTTCGGTGACGTCAATGGCGGCTCCTCCGGGCTGCTGCCGAAGCCGGAGGTCAACCCCGCTGGCCACGTCCTTGCGCTCTGGCACTAGCTGGGGACATGGGGCGTGCAAGGCGGTCTACATCCGCCATTCGCTGGACTTCGCATTCGGGGTCTGGCGCCGAGATGCGGCGCTTAGCGGCGGCGGTCGGGCGGTCCCCCTTCGTCGCGTTGATGTGGCTGGCGGCGAGGCTGGCGCGGTGCATCCGCCCTCGCCGCAAGGAGCGAGGCTTGCAGCGGCCCCCCAGAGTAATGGCGCGAAGATGATCGAGGACAAGGTCAGAAAGATGGACAAGTTGGCGCAGTTGATAGGGGGCGGCGGCGCAGGTCACGCCGCGGTCGGAGCGGCGCCAGGGCGTGAGTGTGGCCGCGATGGGGACCCCAGCGGCGTCCTCCGAGCAGCGGGAGGGGCTCGCGACGATGCTGGAGGTCTGCTCGAGCGGCGAGTTGGATGGGGGCTGGGGAGGCCGCCCGGGCCAGCGGCCCAGGAGATCTTCAGCCTGGCGCAGGGGGCCAAGGAAACCTCGGGGGTGCTCTACGGGGAGGTCCCCGTGGTGGCCGTGGACGGGGGGGCGGCGCGTGGGGAGTGGGCCCCTCGTGCCGTAGACGCGCTTACAGTGTGTGAGCTAACGGCGAAGTAGGACATCCAATTGTAGGAAGGCGTGCTTCGTGGCCGAACAGATTGTAGGAACGCGTGGTTCGTGCTGTCCTACTCGCTGTGTCGCTTTCGTTCGATGCATTCGCATACCTGACATGTAGGAAACGGCGTTTTGTGATTTCCTGCATTTTGTTTAGCGTGAGCTCGGTTCCCCCCCAGAAGAAAATCAGACATCAAAAAAACAGATTCCCAGACGCTCCGTTAATCGAGCACGCTGTCAGCGCGGCCTTGGTCGTGAAACTACCTTTGAATTCGGCCCTGCCTGTCTGGGGGGGGCGCCTCCAGGTTGCGCTGGGCGCTGGCCGGGTGCCCGGCGGCCCGCGGGGGACCTCTTCTTCCTGCTCGCGGGATGCGAGGTAGTTGTTTTTTATGTGTTGTTTTGTTTTTTTCTGCTCCCGTGCAGCCGACGCAGCCCGCGCGTTCCACGCGCCGTTTGCTGCGGGCTTGGCTTTTGATTGTTCGCGCGCAAAAAGTGTTCGGCCCCCTCGTCGCCGTCTTCAAGGGTTGGCGGGCGACCGATCGATTTCTCGCCGCGCGCGTGGCCGAACTCGCCCCGGGAGTCAAGTGGGGCAGCGCGCCCGGACGTCGCCCGCAGGCTCTGAGGGTCCTCGAGGTCTGCGCGACACCGCAATTTCGACATGTAACGCTGCGCGGCGCCGCGCGGGAGCTCTTGCACAGCCGCGCCTCTGACCCCGGCGAAGCGCGTCCGAGGGCGGGGGTGCGCGCGCAGGGAAGCTGCCCGTGCCCATCCCCCCCCCCCCGCGCGCGCGGCGCCTTCTCGGCTGCGTCGTGCGCGGCCTGCGTTGTCAGTTCGGCCTGATGCAGGTGGCCGTGGACTTGCGGATTTTGCTGCTGTCTGTGGTCGAGCTGCAGTCCTCGCCGTGGCTTCCTCTCCACGAGGTGCGCGGCCCGGGTTGCAGGCTGCTTTCGGCGACAGAGCTGCGCGCGGATGCCGACTACTTGTCGCGGTCGCGGGTCTTCGGCGAGCCGATCGCTTTCCTCGGCGTTCAGCCCTCCAGGCTGGGGTGGTTCTGCCTGGCAGAGCACGCCGACTGCGCTGTTGGGGAATACATCGCCAAGGCGGGAGAGGCCGCTGACAGGGCGGACTGCCGCGCGGCGACGCGCGAGCAGTTTGTCGAGCGGCGCGGGGCTCTTTCCGAAGAGTGCCCCTGCCGGGCGGCCCTGAAGACTCGGCGGCGCCTCGGTTGCGCGGCGGTCGTTTCTTTCGCCCCCCAGGCTGGTGACAGGTCCCGAGACGCCTGGGGGCGGCGCTCCTCCTCGGCGCTGGGGGCGCGGGCAGGACGCGCGCGGCGCTGGTGCTGGCGTTCATGGCTGTGGAATATTCATGGCGCAACGAGACGCCCGAGTCCCCGTCGATGCTGGTGGCGGCCTCTTCCAACACGCAGGCGGCGATCACCTCTGCCGTCGAGTGGGAAGCGAGGAGTCTGCACGACGCTCCAGGCGCGCGCGTCCAGGAGATGGTCAACGCGACGGTGCGCACAGGCGACGGAGTGAACGCTCTCGAGGAGTGGTCTGGTAACGCGAGGGTGCTCGTCATTAAAGAGGCGGGCGTGGTGTCCGCCGCCAATTGCAAGGCGCTGGGCTTTCGCGCCGCGCGCGGGCGCATGAAGGCGCGCGCGGTCACGGGGGGCAGCTGCACGAGGCAAGGGCGCGGCCTCGGCGCATGCCCCATCGCTATCCACTCGGGCGACATCCTGCAGTTGGCGCCGGCCGACCCGCCCGCCCTCGGGATTCAAAACGCAATGCAAGTCTGCAGGGGGGCCGCCTTCGTCATCGAGCTCCTCGGGCCCATGCGCTTCGCGCCTGGCGGTCCCATCGTCGAGTTCCTGGCGTGCGTGCGCTGGGGCAAGTAGATCCCTGGCGCGTCTGCCAGGGGCAGCCTCCCTGGCGCGGGGCCTGGGCTGGGCTCGCGGCGCGCGAAAAAAGAAATTCCTCGAGGGGTGCGGCCTGGCCATGCGCTGGGGGCCTCTGGCGCGCTGGGTCATCGAGAGAGCGCGGCGCGACGCCCGCGCGCCTCGCCCCTGGGCTTCCCGCGGGCTTCCGACGAGTGCCGAACCCATCCCCGCCGTGGACAGGGCGCCGTTCTCCAGGGTACTGCGCGCGGCCAACATCTACCGCGCAGGCAGGGCCGTCGGCGCGCCCCCCTGCTCTCGCGGGAATGCGGGTTCGCTTCGCTGGCAAGGTGAATGGGACATATGGGCTCGTCCAGGAGCAGCGGGCCACCGCGTTGACTTCGCGTTCGACGCGGACGGCCATCTTAACTGCAACGACGCGCGCCCGGGCGAGATCTTCAGGCCGCGCAGTTCCTCGGCGGGCATTTGGCTTCAGGTCGGCGACTTTAGGCAGGCCCCGACCCCACGTGGCGAGAGTTCCTTGGCGACGTGGGCAACGAAGAAGAGGCCGCGAAAGAAATCATTGCCCACGGCCTGTTCTGCGTGCTATGATGGGGGCCGCCTTCGCCTCGGAGGCGCCGCCC